TTCTGAAGTTTATAAAACGTCCCTCATTTTTTGGTTGCAGATGCTGAGCCAAGCATACTTGTAACGGGCCGGGCTTTTTCCGGAATTTCGGAGGCCCGCCCCGGCGGGCCCGTCATTTCACTAGTGTTGAAAATTTCAAAAAACACATAAGGGGGACCCTTATGTGATTTTTTTTCGATCAAAAATTTTTTTTCGAGTTTTTTCGATCTTTTTTGATCAGACAGACAAACAATCCAAAAAAACGACAAAAAATGGAAAAATTATATTGAGAGCTCAAAATATGGCTTAAAAATACAGAATTTTTGACACCGGGCCTTCCGGGCCGGGCCCGGGCCTTGAAAATTTCCTCAGGCCCGGCCCGGGCCGGCCCGAAATTTTACAAGTATGGAGCCAAGCATATTGGCGGATGTGCTCTCCCATTTTCCAAGAATGGCGACAGTATGCCTGGTATTCTGGCGGTTATGTGGACAGATGCGCTCCGAAATGTGACAGACCAATTCAATATTGCTTCGACCGAAAAGTTTATGGAAAGTGCCAATTATCTGGGTGCAAAACATTGTCAATGGTCAAATGCGCGTATTGTGCCAAGAACATATGTTTCCAGCAGTTTGTCATCGAATGCCACCGATGTGTTTAGAATCCTCAACTGTTTTTTCAATAAAAAAAAATAAAAAATTTTGAAAAATCTTCGATGACCCCATGAGCATATTAGTGAATTTCTTCAAAAATTAAATGTCTGTTTTTATTCTGGAAAATGCCTATTCATAACGAGAAACTCCCGAAAAACATGTTTAAATTGCGTAAACTTTATTCCAGAGCCAGTTATGGCAGCTTAACATAAAACAAAAAAAATTTTGCAAAATTTTTGGGATCGGGAGAATTGAACCTACAACCTTCCTGCACTGAACTTGCCATTTTACCACTTTACCACACTGCTGATTGAAACCTATTGTTTTAAAAGAAATACACTATTCCGTGAAAAAATTTCACGAGAAATTGCTTAATCATAGGGAAACTTTTCTAGGTCATAACTCAGCTCACGTGAGCATTTTGCTGATTTTTTTAACAGATTTGGAATCCTCATAAGCTCTTCTATCTGCTCCCAAAATTTCAAAAAAAGTTAAACCTGCTCCCTCAAGTAACTCCCTTGTTAGAAATCAGCAAATAGCTGAAAAACTTAGAATTTTCGAAAAATTCTGTGAATGCATTGTTTTTAATCTAGGTCTGTTTTATGACCTACAGTACATTCGTACTGATAGGACAGCAAGCAACCGAGCTCCAGACTCCTGAAAATGGTCAAGATCAACTGAAAAATGGGTTTTTTCTTTGTTCTAACAATAAATTATGGTTCCGAATTTGAAAAAGCAGGTTGAGCTTTTCTAGAATTTGATTTTGAATGAGCTTTTTGAAAAAAACAAAAAAGGTCACGTGACTTTTTTTTAGCTTTATCAAAAAGCTCATAAAGGCTCATAAGGCTCATTCTGTGATTTTTATTAAAAAGCTCATTATGACTCATCACTAGGGTTGGCTTGGGGGCGGGGATTCGCCCCTGCCCCGGGAGGCGGTATACTTTGCGTAATTGCGCGTAACTGAATGGACCAATTGACATTAAAATTTCAGGGTAGCCAAATTGGGTACCCTGAATCGTAAAATAATCTAAAAAATTCGGTTACTGATTCTTTAAACGAATTC